TGAATCTATACTATTGCATTCCGGTAGACTTCTTCAGCAGTTTGTTGTTGATATGTATGTAAAAATTGAAACTTCTAGGTTAGACTACTTCCGTCTCAACCAAACTGCTCTTCGAGCCGAATTATATCAAGGTCTTGTTGATAGTGTTCGTTTCGGAGAGTCGAGGGGTCAAAAGATTGGCCGCAGAATTGTATTGCCTCGAACTTTTTTAGGCAGCCCGAGAGATTTGAGAACACGTTATATGGATGCAATGTGCATAGTGCAAAAATACGGTAAACCAGATATTTTCTTAACCATGACTTGCAATCCAAAATGGCCTGAGATAACTGAGCATCTAGGTCATAACGATGAAGCCCAAAATAGACCCGATTTGGTTGTGCGAATTTTTAGAGCAAAACTTGAGGCATTAAAAGAAGATTTGTTAGTTAGGAATGTCTTCGGTCCTGTTATTGCTTATATTTATGTTGTTGAATTTCAAAAAAGGGGTCTTCCACATGTACATTTCTTGATAATCCTTCAAAATCAACATAAATTGAGAACGCCAGATTCTGTGGATACAATAGTCAGTGCCGAATTACCTGATGAGCAAAAGCATCCATCTTTATACTCTCTTGTAATCAAACATATGATGCACGGACCTTGCGGTGTTTTAAATCCTAAAAACGTTTGTATGAAACACAATGATACTTGCAAGTTTGATTTCCCAAAAAAATTTTGTGACCGAACTATTATAGGCAACAATTCTTATCCAACCTATAGGCGTAGAAACAATTGTAGGTCTGCAAAGGTACGTAATCATTTTTTAGGTAATGAATGGGTTGTTCCATATAATGCATACTTGTTGTCAAAGTATAACTGTCACATAAATGTAGAAATTTGTTCTTCAGTAAAATCTGTAAAATACATGTATAAATACATTTACAAAGGTCATGATAAAGTGAGCTTCTCTGTGACAGAACCAAATGATTCTGATGTATATGATGAAATAAAATTGTACCAGTCAGCTCGATGGATTTCTCCTCCCGAGGCAATGTGGCGTATATATGCATTTCTCCTATATGATATGACTCCATCCGTGATCTCACTTCAATTACATTTGCCAAATGCTCATTCCGTAACATACAGAGATGGCGATGATCTAAATAGAATTGTGGACGCAGACTATTATAAAAAAACAATGTTGACTGAATATTTTCGTATGAACGTAACTTGTCCATTTGCTAAAACGATCTTATACAGAGACTTTCCAGAGTACTATGTGTGGAACAAACAGACAAAAATTTGGTCTCCTAGGAAAAAAAATTTACGAGTAATTGGAAGAATTGTCCATGTTAGTATCACTGAGGGAGAACGTTATTACTTAAGAAAGTTGCTTAATCATGTAAAAGGTACAAGATCACATGATGATTTGAAGATAGTAAATGGTGTAAGGGTTGCAACTTTTCGGGACGCTGCTTTTTTACATGGTTTGCTCAATGAAGACACTGATTGTCATTTGTGTATGGAAGAGGCATCCCACTATCAAATGCCATACGCATTACGCCAATTATTTGGAACCATTCTTGCTCTTTGTGATCCCCATGATCCAAAAAAACTATGGCTTTCATTCAAAGAACATATGCTTGAAGATATGTTAACCTCAAAAATGGAGATGAAAGAAGCTGAAATTAGAGCATTACATGATATAGATAATCTTTTACAGTCTTATGGGAAAACAATTGCTGAATTCTCACTTGTTGACACAAATCTATGTTCTGAACATGTAAATCGTGTTCCCAAGGTTATTTCAGATGAATTAAATGTTCCTATATGTGAAGCAGACCTGTCAAATGAACATATGCTTAATACAGAACAACGATGTGCGTACGAAGAAATTATGAAATTCACGTTGGCAAAACAAAATGCTGCTTTCTTCATTGATGGTCCAGGTGGAACTGGTAAAACATTTTTATACAAGACCCTTCTTGCAACCGTCAGATCAAAAGGACTAATAGGGCTTGCAACAGCGTCATCTGGGGTTGCTGCTGCATTACTACCACGAGGCCGAACTGCTCATTCTCGGTTCAAGATTCCTATTTCTGTAAACAATGAAACAACATGTGCCATTAGCAAACAATCATCGTTAGCTCATCTTTGTAGAACTTCTTCAATAATTATATGGGATGAAGCTCCAATGGTAAACAAATCTGTTGTCGAGTGTTTGGATAGATTTCTACGTGATGTCTGTGAGTCTGACCTGCCCTTTGGTGGAAAGGTGGTTGTTTTCGGAGGAGATTTTCGTCAGGTATTGCCTATCGTGAAAAAAGGTGGGAAAAAAGATATTCTCAATGCGACTCTCATGAATTCATATTTATGGCCTTTTATCATCAAGTTCAAGTTGGTCAACAATGTACGTGCTCAATCAGATCAGATTTTCTCAGATTACTTGTTGCGTATTGGAAATGGGACTGAGTTAGTACACACATGTGGCCTCATAAAACTACCTACTGAACTGGTGATACCGTATGTGAATGAAATTGACTCTGTTCTGATCTTGCTTGATGCGGTGTTTCCAGAATTCCACTCTTATATTACAAATACCAATATGATGATGAACAGAGTCATTTTAAGCCCAAAAAATGAAGATGTTGATTTCATCAATGTTTTGTTGATAAATAGATTCCCTGGTGAATCTTTTACCTACTACAGTTTCGACGAGCCACTGGAAGCAGATGATGTTAGTTTTAATGAAGATTTCTTAAATTCATTTACACCAAGCGGTGTTCCACCGCACGAGTTAATCTTGAAGACTAGCTGCCCAATAATTTTGTTGAGAAATATAAATCCGTCAGAGGGACTGTGTAATGGAACAAGACTTGTATGTAGACATTTTGATAGAAATGTTATTGATGCTGAGATTGCTGTTGGAGAATACAAGGGAAAAAGAGTCTTCTTGCCTCGCATACCTTTTATACCTTCAGAAACTGATGACACGCCTTTCAGATTTAAAAGAACACAGTTTCCCATTCGTGTATGCTTTGCAATGAGTATAAACAAAGCTCAAGGACAAACACTAGATTTCGTTGGTCTATATTTACCCAATCCTATTTTTTCACACGGTCAATTATATGTTGCCTTATCAAGAGCCAAAACAAGTCAGTCTATTAAGATACTTTTGAAGCCGAACCATCAGAACAAAGAACATTGCTCATGCACAAAAAATGTTGTATATACTGAAGTTTTGGAGTCTTTAAAGTTCAGTGAAACTTCATCCAGGTGCACTAGCGTTACATAAATCACACAAATAATATATCATTATGTAGTTACAAACACTATCTAAATTTTGTCAATCTGTGAAGGCCTTTTAATATCATCATATTACTTTGTATTCGTATTATCAAATATTTTCTTTCATACTATAAGGAGAATAAGGCATTGCTGGTGGTTTATTTGGTACTTTTTGACGTTTATATATAATTTAAAATTTTAGTTCTTTCTTGCGTTCGAGTTGTCTTTTTCTTTCCATTGGATATGGATTTCAACTTAATTCTCTGTATTTTTTTTTGCTTTTCAGAATTATCACAATTCTCAAGCATCCTCTATGTATATGGGTGTAGGATTTTCAAGATTTCAAACTTTTATGATCGTAGCTCGAAAGAACTTAGATTCATAAATATTTGCTACAAGCTTTGAAAGCATGGAGTTATTAAACTATACTTGTGATAGATTCTTCAGGACTTTGTGTATTATGAAACTATATATGAAGTTCCTTTGTTTCAACAGGAGAACATAAATTGACATTTGAAAATATCTTGCAGAATAAGGTAGATGATTCTCGAAATCCAAGCAATCGCAGTATTGTGAAGGGTCCCGTCAGGGGGACAAGTCATATTCCTTCATCATGGAAACCAGGAGCTATTCTTAATTGATGTTGTTGAAAAATGAGGGTTGTAGATGTTTGTCTTCTTTGCCTTTTCAATCAGAGCTCATCGAAGTTGCGAAAAAAGCNTTGCCTTTTCAATCTGAGCTCATCAAAGTTGCGAAAAATGCCAGGGTGATTATGTCTTCCAATTAACTACTAAACTAATTGTACATAAATTTCTGTTTTTAGATTAGAGCTAGAATTTATGTTTTATTTGTCTGTTCATAACACGGCAGAAATAAGGACATTTTTTTTTGAAACTGTAAAATTCTAAATCTATTTGTTATTATATGTTCTGCAGGAATAAATATAGAAAGTTAACAGATATTTTAATTGGAAGAAAGTGCAATGGAAAGTTCAGAAATGGAAAAGGAATAAGAACAATGGCGAAAGAGCAGTTGGGTTCGGGTTCGGTAAAGCAGAATGCTAAGCTACAAAGGTATCACCCGTGTGAGTAAAGGGCGGAGTCAGAATTAATGGCCAGTGAATCGACTAGACTCACACCAAGAGCCCTTTTAAAAATTAGAGGTATAAGAAAAGCCTCGGCCTTTCCCTTTTCATTGTTACTTTTATGGAAAAAAATATCAAACAAAAATTGAAACTGTCGGGTTGGGTTGCCTGACTTGTTTGACAGCTTGATCACTGAATTTTAGGTGAAGTTTCATGTTTGTTAATTGAATTGTAGTTCGCTATTTGTTTGGGAACTATTCACTAAAAGGTCAGTTAATTTTTCTTAAATAAATATCTCATTGCTAAGAATTAAATAGAGCCAACAAAAATATTTCAGAGATCATAACTGCTAATGGCTTCAAAAAAAAAGAATAGGAACAAGGGAGATGTTGCAAGTCTTCCACAAAATGAATTGACTTCATGCAATCTCAAAGGATAAGCTGTGAATAAAACAAAGGGAAGTTTCTAAGTACAATTCAGGAGTAAACCAGGGGAAATCAATATTTTTTATTATGTGTATATTTTCAGATATTGGTCGTTATTTTTGACCTCCCATGTTTCCCATGTACAGTAGTTCCTTTTGCAGATAATCCATATAAACCAATTTGAAGAGCTAAGGGATTCCTCAAAGTGGAAAAAAAATATCATGAGAATTGTTCTCCCTGCAACTCAAGGAATAAGCAGAATTCGGAAACCCTTAAGACTAAAACCTTACCTAACAAAATGGCCAGTAACTGAAGCACCCTTGAATATGAATTTTCCTTCTACGGGAATTTTACTGATGCAGAGTTAATATTGACTGCAACACTGAAGAAGAGTGATATTCTGCACGAAAATAATATAGGTCTATGAAATATAATAGTAATTGATGTCTTTATTGATATGATGTAGGTGCTCAACACCCCAAGGTTGGTCTTATTTTAGCATACATAGCTCTTGTATTACCGACATAAAGCAGCAATGGAGCATTTGAGTTCTCTTTTAATTCAAGAGGTTAGAAATTTCATGTCAAGCTACTAAAGTATGTTCAAATATTTTGATTCCTTACATTCCTTGATTTATAGTTATTCCAGTGACTTTATAAGTAGTAATTAGTTCCAAAAGTTGGGTTTATTCTATTGATGATATAAGGATATCCAATGCGATTTTAGAAGTACTTTGGCTATGGAAAATGGTATACTGCTCAGATGAGACTTCATTCTTCAAAGGCTGTAGCTTGTTCACAATTGTTTCGTTCGTCGATTTGATGTAGTAATGTACTAGGTATTTTGATGATTTTTATTATTTTAAACTATTTTAGTGCTTGTTTCCTTATTATTATTATTATTATTATTTTTTTGTAATATATCACTATTTTGAGTTTGAAAATAGTACCCTATAGCATTCTTGTGAGAATGACACTATCTATGTTTTCTGTATATTGAAACCCCATTTATGGTTATAAACCATTCTAACTTTCACATGTTCCTTCTCCACACAAATCTGGGGCTTGATTTACTTATATTTTTATAAGCTCAGGCTACCAGACATGCAGAGATGGAAGCAATTGATATGCTACCAGACGTGTATTTGGAGTCACCGCTACCATCGGCATCACCGCCGCCATCGTAGCAAGAAACAGACCGAGGAAACGTCCAGCAAAGCAGCCGAGGAACGGGAAGAAGAGAAATTCCTAAAATTCAAGTCGAAGAAAGAAAATTGGAAGGTGATGTAATCCTACCAAATTTTTCATCCCTGTCCATAGAGAATCTTTTTATAGCAGTGGGGTTTCTTTAATTTAAGCCTGCGAAATTGCTAATATTCCAATCAGTGCTAATTCTAAGAAAACAGACGAGTCCTGCAATCAATTCTCTTTAGCTATATAAGAACACAAAATATACCCCAAATACAAATCATTTAATTATATAATCGGTCTGAGAAGAGGAAACAATTAAAACATTATTTTGGAACCCTAAATAGCAAGCATGAACATAGTATATGTTACTCAAAAAATGGAAACTATTCTTTAAAATCGACAATGAAATTTACTGTCGAAATTTTGGCAGAGTTTTCCCCCTTTCTTGAGTTCTTTAGGGTGTGTTTAATTGATTATGGACCAAATTGAAGAAAATGGAGTTTTCGGGCTATTTTAGTTGCAAAATATCATTTAATTGGAGAATGTTAAAATTTTTGAGAGAATCGACCCTATTTTTATCTTGATCCTAATCGGCTTTTTTTTAGAGAGTAGAAGTTTGGATATTAAATTTTTTAGCCCCTTTTTAGTTGTGTAAATGACCTATTTATAGCGTGTTCAAGTTATTTTGATCATTTTTATAAATTGACCTTCCTTCATTATGTTGGGAGTCTGACTAAGTCCAATTTCCAAGATTTAATTTAGTTTTTTTTGTTTTTGTGATATTTGTCGAGCAATTCGTTCGTACTAATGTTTCTATCAATTTCGAGATTTAGTCCAAGGCTTTTAGATCTTTAGTCCTATTAGCCAAGTATTATGGTCCTGCATGCTTCATTGCCAAATGGTACTTAGACGGTCGAGTCTTTCGCTCTGACTACACCTCGACGACTGAGGTGCGAATATGCAAGGATATGTGGGCATGAATTATTGTGTACATAAAAAAGACGTTTAAGAGGTATTTGATATATTTGATTGAATTGTTAAAACAAAATGAAAGTGGAAAAATAAATTATCTAGCTTGTCCAGTTGTACTTTGCTTTGGGGAACCAGGAGAGCGGCATAAATCTTTGAATCCAAGGCTTTTCAATGTCTCAACTAATGCCTATGGCGTTATATTTTCGTATTGTACACTATTGTCTAATGTTCTGCTCAGTCTGTGCCTTTAAAAAATGTCCATAGCTATAGAATTCGTGCCTATGATATCTACGGACATATTTTATTGACATCCATGACCCAAACTAGCATTTCGTATACATAAATTCTTGATTTTTTTTCCTTATTGCATTGGAATTTCTTTCAATTTTCAAATACATTTCGTATAGCATTAAACTTTGTTGCTTGTTATCTCCTACTTGCACAACGCGAACCATAAAATTATCTATTGATTAAACTTTCATTGCAGGTGTTAAAGCAACTTAATGTTTTCTCAAGTGATGATGTGGATTCTGTTGCTGAGGCATTAAATGATGTGAGTGTAAATTCTACATCTATATATCTACTCTTCCAAGCAATAAATGAAAGGAACTTATAAGATTTTTAACATAGAAAAAGTTATGATAGAAAGCAACTGGAAAGTAGATGTAGTCTAGCCACAAGCTTGTTTTTCGGAAAAAAAAATGCAATTCTGATGGACAAACATAAATTGGGCTAATCCATTTTTGTTGGATTTGTTGATTCTCTAGATGCTTATCAAGAAGCTTTACATGGTTGTTGAAATGGCTGCTCAATGGGAAGATGGTGGAGCAGCAGATGCCATATATTCTGGCAAACAAAAAAAATCCAAATTTCAATGGGAAAAAAGTGGCGATTTAGCAACTCGTGTTTCATATAACATTCTTGGTATGGTAACATTAGCGGTCATAAGCAAGCATCTTGCATATCTTAAAAGGTTAACAATAATATAGAACACGGATACAGCTAAAAGTATAGAACAAATTGAATCTTTTTTTATATATACATCGGTTTCTTTAGTATTTAATAAATTGGTGTTGGGATGCTACTTTTATTGTAGTTCAAGCAATCCTTCATTCCTTGTTTCTTGACCTAAAACTTATTAAGTTTGAATTATATTTATTTGGGCTGAGTTTAGAGAATGAAAAAGATGCAAATTTCAGGTTCTTTATCACCGAATTTACAAAATGCTGTTTACAACGACTGCTTTGTTTGATGGATGATCTAAAAGAAGAAAATTTTATTGATGTGTTTGAATGGTAAATTATATCATTCCAATTTTTGATGTAGCCAATTACCTTTTGGGATCCAACTACAATTCTTTTTCCTTTTGCTTGTGTGTGGATTTGGGTGACAAGGGAAATATGAATATGCTTGTCTTGATTATAGAAGTTGGTTTTCACCTAGCTGTTCATTCAACTGATGTACAATGTAGCTTATTTTGAACATCCTGCTTTATATTTAACTTGTGGAATCTGGATTTGATGTATTTGTATTCTTTATGATGATGACAGATTATGTGTCATAGCTGCGAACGTATCACGAATCGACGTTATCACTCATGTTCCCATCTCATGTGAAGAATCTAACATTCCTTGTATCTACGTTCCCTCGAAAGAAGTAAGCATGTTTTCTTCACTCCCTTGTGTTATATTTTATTCATTGTCTTATCCTTGGCTATTTTTTAGGTGAACCCCAACCCTTCAATGTTGTTTTTTTTTTGGGTGGTGGTGGGGGACTAAAAATAAGGTCAAGGAAAGTGAAGATATAAATAATAAAACTTGGAAATGCTGTCTGTTTGTAGAAAAACTATTGCACAGGTCTCCTTTTTCTTGCATGGATCTGAAGAATCGAATTTCGAGGATTGTAATGGTTATCTTGGAAAATATGTTTGTTTTTGTTTGCCTCTTTAATTGTATTCAAATTTTTTACTTTAACTATTGGCTTGCCTGCTTAGTATTCATGGCATATCATATGGTAGAATGCCCAAGTTATAAATATATGCTGTGTTCTATTCCACATTTAATGGATTCATTCTCATACTCTTAATTCCAGTCTATATGAAGAATGCTATGGCTTAGAAACAGGGAATATTAATACATGTTTTTACTATTTTTTCAGCTACTCATCTAAACTAGACTGATAATATTACAAGGCAAAGTTCTAGAATTTGAGCATTCTTCAGTTGCATAGCACATAATTCCAAAAGTGATTTTGAGCAAGATCCTCAGGATTTGTTCTCTTCAGTAGCAATGTATTGTGTCAGTGCTTAAAAATGATTGTGGGACTTAATGGTTTGGTTTTTCATTGAAGTTTGGGAAAAACAATATTTTTGGAAACTTTCTGGAAGAGTATTGTAAGTTGGCATATATGAGTGCCGTTATGCAGTTTATGATTTCAACTATATGACTGAAGAGAATATCCCAAAGAGCAAGATTTTCTTTATTGCGTAGTAATTTTCTTTCTTCGCAAACATAGTAAATGTCAATAAACTGGCTTATTTTCACCACACTAACTGTTGCCATTACTTTTTTCCTGCATTATAAGGTCCCCCCGACACCTCAAGAGTGAGAAAATGATCTATGCAAGCTCCAAGGACAGGTTCAAAAGGGAATTACATAGCATTCAGGTGGAGCTGCAAGCCACTGATCCAACTGAGATAGGTCTTAATGTCTTCAAAAGCCGCGCAAATTATATTTCTTTAGGTTGCATCAGAGTATCAAATATTCTATTTGCTCTACTTGCAAGTAATGTTGATAGTTTGTGAAACAATGGTACCTGGTTAAGCTATTATATTAGTCTTTTGTCAACGTCTAATTCTGTGTTCCTATCATCATCTAGAGCCGATTATGTCATTTTGATCTTATTTTATGATTATTTTGGTGTGGAATTTCGGTTGTTTTGCCGCTTGGGGCTGGATAACTATATTGAATTTGCTTCTATATTTTGGAAATGCACTCTTTGCTTTCTTACTCATTTTTCAAATTGTTATGTTCTCATTTTTACATGGATGTTGCTATTGGCTATTATATGATGTTCAATGAGTTCATCCTTCCTAACAACATCACGACATGCTCAATTATCCCAACATAACCATTATCAATACATACACTTGACGTTGAGTCGTGCAACGCACGTCCAACACTAGTAGATTTAAGAGTCTAAACTTGCATTACCTCTTAATGACACTAAGCATGAGCTTTTATAATTGGGCAAGACGAACGAAAGTCATGGGATGACAATGCACGTGGCCTCATCCAAATGACTGACATTTCTTGTCATAGACATTACTCAAATCACAACCTTAAATGCTAATACCATTTTTGTACCCACAAAAGTCTAGCTTGAAGCCTTTGACCTCACCACATAGGATGGCGGCGGTGGCGGTAGCGGTAGCGGTAGCGGTAGCGGTAGCGATAGTGAGTTGTCTTGTCATCTCTTAGTGCAAAATCTGTTTAAGATTTCATCACTGCCTCGTTCCAGACCGACTCTTCCCATGGAATCCTCGAGCCTGTAGGGCGAGCCCAGCCTCCACCATGTCAACTGCATCACAGGTCTCGACATACGAGAAGTATTTGTCGGTCCAATACTTGTGTTGAATCCTCGCAACCCCTTGGAGCTCAGTAGGAAGCATCTCCATTACCGTGGATGCTATCTTCTCAGACCTCCCGCCCTAAAAGTTTTGAGCCTTTTCTTCATATGGGACTTTGATAGCCTCTCTGCCCCACCTCTGCTTCACAAGGCTCATCTCCTTTTCAACATTCTCCTCTACATCAACGATCTCTACAGAAGAGATAGGCTCCACCTCAATGGGGAGACGAAGTAACTCTCCAGAACTGTCGGCGCTTCGGTGGTGGAGGACGTTCAGTGTTCCTCGTCAGAACCAACTTCCTCTTTTGGGGTTGTTTCGCGGAAGACTCAGCTATCTCTTTCCACTTATCACCTTTCTTCTCTACGGGAGGAGGCAAATTCATCTTGAAGAGGCGAGTCAGCGTATCCCGTTGATTTGTAGGCTGAGGAGGTTGAACTCATGGTCTTATTACTTTTCGCCTCTCCCAGGCGCCTCATAAGGAACACGTCAAGCTTGACATGTTCTTTCTTAACGTGTTGACCTACAAACAAAAGACGAGCCTATTAGCAACTATTTTAAAGATCAGCAAAAATCACTGAGCGAATGGTTATAAGCTACTTTTACCTTTAGTAGCCATCAATTGATGTGTAACGAAGAGGTTCCTCTTTTCGAGCACGTTCTTAAAATACCTCTTCTCTAAGGGCAGCCCGTAAATTGCCTTGATAATTGTACACTCGAAGGCTCAAACTCGAATCGATTGACTGCAGCCATACAAAGCGCACAATTAGAAATAGAAAATAAAAAGGAGTCGAGGCATAAAACAAGATTAATTCAGCCAAGGCAGGACTCACTATACTCGTGGTACTGGGTCGGCACGGTTATCTCTTGGACCACATCTCCCTCTACTGTTTGTCAGCGACCCCTAACCCAGATTCAAAAGGATTTCCAGTTCTTTATGGAGGTCGGAGTCCCTTAGATGAAGGGAGAATGCGAGTCCCAAGGGTTCATGCAGTACCACTCATTGCAGTCACTCCCCCCGCTCGAGGCTGCAAGTTTAGACTCTTAAAACTATAATCTTGTAACCCCATCAATTACTCATTTCTCCCAAAAATCGACCCACTTTTTATATTGGAGGCTCACGTTTAAATTTCTCCCACACTCATATTAATATTTCTCCAACTAACTTAACCGTCGGAATGCATGGTCTCAACCATCCCACATAGCAGACGGTTCAATGGTTCCACACCCCGTACCCTAACATGAGGCGAAACTGGACCATTCCTCAAGCGCGGACAACTCGTTTTCCCTCGAGGCAATGCTAGATTGACCCCATTACCCACGAACTCCATGGGAAGAGCCAATCCGGGACGAGGCAGTGAGGAAATCTTAAACATATCTTGCATTGTGAGATTGACAAGACAACTCGCTACCGCTACCGCAGCCATCCTATGTGATCAGGTCAAAGGCTTCAAGCTAGACCTTTGTGGGTAAAAAATGGTATTAGCATGTAAGGCTGTGATTTGAGTGGTGTTTATGACAATAATGTCAGTCATTTGGATGAGGTCACGTGCATTGTCATCCCACGACTTTCGTTCGTCTTGCCCAAGTATAAAAGGTCAAGCTTAGTGTTATTCAGAGGTAATGCAAGTTTTGACTCTTAAAGCTATAATCTTGCTACCCCATCTTTTACTCATTTCTGCCCAAAACTAACCCTTTTTTTATATTGGAGTCTCATGTTTAAAGCTCTCCCACACTCATATTAATATTTCTCCAACTGACTTAACTGTCGGAGTGTGCGCGGATGTGGCCAACAACTTTTTTTAACATTTGACAAACAAAGTTGTCTGAATTTTACAAAAAATTAAAGAATTAATCACTTCATCAAATTATTTTCTCGTTATCTTTAGATGACAAAGTCTTTCCGCAGTTTCAATTTAGAAAGTCTCTCCACAATCTCTTTAACTCGTTTGAGCCACGTTCTTTAAAAAATCATTTTTTTCCTAAATTTATTTTTAACCACATATTTTCCTAATAAAATAATTACACGTAGATTCAATTTTTTCAAATTTTTTAACCCTGCATTTTTCAAACAACTTACTACTGTAAAACCTTTTTTTTTTTCCAAAAAGTGAAGCTCAAACAAACCCTTATGGTCCTTTTAAAATGATTTTTGAGAAGTTACAAGAAAATTTTGATTCAAAAGCTATTTACGGACATGGTTGATTAATTTTATAAAAATATTTCTTTTAATTAAAAGAGAATTATAGAAAAGTGACTCAATATTACTTCTCTAAAAATCTATCGGAAGAGAGATTTTTTTTAAAAAAAAATTATTTTTCAAACATTAATTAAGATAGTTTCTTAAGATATTACTAACGATTGTGCTACATGTACATTACCACTTATAGATTGGTGTACATATACATATTGTTGTGAGATATAATTGAATTAAAATTTCTTCGGTCAAATGAAAAAAAACTACCTCGTTTAGTTGTAAAACTTTATATAATTCTTTATGTACAAGTAGTATTATTATATGTCTAAAGATGCTCGTTTAAATTCCATTATTTGAAAAAAAAATTGATTTTGAAATTGTGTTTTTTGAAGAATGTGTGATTAAAAAGTGAGGAGAATTTTTTGATTTATCTGTAATAATTTTATTAAGAGAATGTATGATTGATAAAAGGAGAGAGAAAAATGAATTAAAATTTAATAGGAGCTAAACATGGGTTAACAAAATACTTTTACATCTATTTTAGGAATATGAAAATTCACTAATTTAGCCCTTTTTAATGACCATTATAAATAGAAATTGGAAAAAAAAAATGATGTTTTGAATAATGATTTTTTGAAGAATGTGTGGTTAAAAAGTAGAAAAAAATTTGAATTTACTTACAAAATTTTTTGTCGTGTGATTTCTATACTTTATTAAGGAGTAAATATCGGAAAACAATAATAAATCTTGGATAGAATAAAGTGAACATTTTTTCTAATGTGGCCAACAGATTTCAAGGTCTCTTACGTTCACGCAAGCTTTGTTCATGCACACTGTGACAAATCATTAGTCACATGTGACTTTCTCCGGAAGAGGTGGAGTAGGCCACATGCACTCAACGGTTAAGTCAGTTGGAGAAATATTAATATGAGTCTGCTAGAACTTTAAATGTGAGACTCCAATATAAAAAAGGGGGTCGGCTTTGAGGAGAAATGAGTAAAAAATGGGGTAGCAAGATTATAGATTTAAGAGTCTAAACTTGCATTACCTCTGATGACACTAAGCGTGAGCTTTTATACTTGGGCAAGAAGAACGAAAGTCATGGGATGACAATGCACGTGGCCTCATCCAAATGACCAACATTTCTTGTTATAGACATTACTCAAATCACAACCTTAAATGCTAATACCATTTTTGTACCCACAAAGGTCCAGCTTAAAGCCTTTGACCTCACCACATAGGACAGTGGTGGTAGCGGTAGCGATAGTGAGTTGTCTTGTCATCTCATAGTGCAAGATCTGTTTAAGATTTCATCACTGCCTCGTTCCAGACCGACTCTTCCCATGGAATCCTCGAGTCTGTAGGGCGAGCCCAGTCTCTACCATGTCAACTGCATCACGGGTCCCGACATACGAGAAGTATTTGTCAGTCCAGTACTTGTGTTGAATCCTCGCAACCCCTTGGAGCTTAGCAGGAAGCATCTCCATTACCGTGGATGCTATCTTGTCAGACCTCCCGCCCTAAAAGTTTTGAGCCTTTTCTTCAGATGGGACTTTGATAGCCTCCCTGCCCCGCCTCCGCTTCACAAGGCTCATCTCCTTTTCAACTTTCTCCTCTACATCAACGATCTCTACAGAAGAGATAGGCTCCACCTCAATGGGGCGACGAAGTAACTCTCCAGAACTGTCTAGCGCTTCGGTGGTGGAGGAGGTTCAGTGTTCCTCGTCAGAACCAACTTCCTCTTTTGGGGTTGTTCCGCAGAAGACTCAACTATCTCTTTCCACTTATCACCTTTCTTCTCTAGGGGAGGAGGCAAATTCATCTTGAAGAGGCGAGTCAGCGCATCCCGTTGATTTTGTAGGCTGAGGAGGTTGAACTCATAGTCTTCTTATTTTTCGCCTCTCCCAGGTGCCTCATAAGGAACATGTCAAGCTTGACATATTCTTTCTTAACGTGTTGACCTACAAACAAAAGACGAGCCTATTAGCAACTATTCTAAAGATCAGCAAAATCACTGAGCGAATGGTTAGAAGCTACTTTTACCTTTAGTAGCCATCAATTGATGTGTAATGAAGAGGTTCCTCTTTTCGAGTACGTTCTTAAAATACCTCTTCTCTGAGGGCAGCCCGTAAATTGCCTTGATAATCGCACACTCAGAAGGCTCAAACTCGAACCGATTGACTGCAGCCACACAAAGCGCACAATTAGAAATAGAAAATAAAAAGGAGTCGAGGCATAAAACAAGATTAATTCAGCCAAGGTAGGACTCACTATACTCGTGGTACTGGGTCGGCACGGTTATCTCTTGGACCACATCTCCCTCCACTGTTTGTCAGCGACCCCTAACCCAGATTCAAAAGGATTTCCAGTTCTTTATGGAGGTCGGAGTCCCCTAGATGAAGGGAGAATGCGAGTCCCAATGGCTCATGCAATACCACTCATTGCAGTCACTCCCCCCACTCGAGACTGCAAGTTTAGACTCTTAAAACTATAATCTTACAACCCCATCAATTACTTATTTCTCCCAAAAGCCGACCCACTTTTTATATTGGAGGCTCACGTTTAAATTTCTCCCACACTCATATTAATATTTCTCCAACTAACTTAACAGTCGGAATGCATGGTCTCAACCATCCCACATAGCAGACGGTTCAATGGTTCCACGCCCCGTACTCTAACATGAGGCGAAACTGGACCATTCCTCAAGCGCGGACGACTCGTTTTCCCTCGAGGCAATGCTAGATCGACCCCATTACCCACGAACTCCATGGGAAGAACCAATCCGGGACGAGGCAGTGAGGAAATCTTAAACATATCTTGCATTATGAGATTGACAAGACAACTTGCTACCGCTACTGCATCCATCCTATGTGATCAGGTCAAAGGCTTCAAGCTAGACCTTTGTGGGTAAAAAATGGTATTAGCATTTAAGGCTGTGATTTGAGTGATGTTTATGACAATAAATGTCAGTCATTTGGATGAGGTCACGTACATTGTCATCTCACGACTTTCGTTCGTCTTGCCCAAGTATAAAAGGTCACGCTTAGTGTCATTCAGAGGTAACGCAAGTTTTGACTCTTAAAGCTATAATCTTGCTACCCCATCGTTTACTCATTTCTCCCCAAAACTGACCCCCTTTTTTATATTGGAGTCTCATGTTTAAAGCTCTCCCACACTCATATTAATATTTCTCCAACTGACTTAATTGTCGGAGTGCGCGCGGATGTGGCCAACAACTTTTTTTAACATTTGACAAACAAAGTTGTGTGAATTTTACAAAAAATTAAAGAATTAATCACTTCATCAAATTATTTTCTCGTGATCTTTAGATGACAAAGTCTTTCCGCAGTTTCACTTTAGAAAGTCTCTCCACAATATCTTTAACTCGTTTGAGCCACGTTCTTTAAAAAATCTTTTTTTTTCTTAAATTTATTTTTAACCACATATTTTCCTAATAAAATAATTACACGTAGATTCAATTTTTTCAAATTTTTTAACCCTGCATTCTTCAAACAACTTACTACTGTAAAATCTTTTTTTTTTCCAAAAAGTGGAGCTCAAGCAAACCCTTATGGTCCTTTTAAAATGATTTTTGAGAAGTTAGAAGAAAATTTTGATTCAAAAGCTATTTATGGACATGGTTGATTAATTTTATAAAAAATATTTATTTTAATTAAAAGAGCATTATAGAAAAGTGACTCAATAAAAATCTATCGGAAGAGAGATTTTTTTTTTAAAAAAAAATTATTTTTCAAACATTAATTAAGATAGTTTCTTAAGACATTACTAACGATTGTGCTACATGTATATTACCACTTATAGATTGGTGTACATATACATATTGTGGTGAGATATGATTGAATTAAAATTTCTTCGGTCAAATGAAAAAAAACTACCTCGTTTAGTTTTAAAACTTTATATAATTCTTTATGTACAAGTAGTATTATTATATGTCTAAAGATGCTCGTTTAAACTCCATTATTTGAAAAAAAAAAAATTGATTTTGAAATTGGGTTTTTTGAAGAATGCGTGATTAAAAAGTGAGGAGAATATTTTGATTTATCTGTAATAATTTTATTAAGAGAATGTGTGATTGATAAAAGGAGACAGAAAAATTAATTAAAATTTAATAGAGGCTAAACATGGGTTAACAAAATACTTTTACATCTATTTTAGGAATATGAAAATTCACTAATTTAGCCCTTTTTAATGACCATTATAAATAGAAATTGGAAAAAAAATGGTGTTTTGAATAATGATTTTTTGAAGAATGTGTGGTTAAAAAGTAGAAAAAAATTTGAATTTACTTACAAAATTTTTTGTCGTGTGATTAAAAATGACCTGTTTGATTTGGATTATAATTCAATTAAAATTTAAAATTGAAATCAATAATTAATTTTAATCACAAAGACGCCAACAAGATATTAGTTGTAAGAGGCAATCTCACTACTTTCATCCGTTTCATCGCCGAATAAAATCCAATCCTCGCTGTCCATTCAAAGCTAGGCCACAATTTCCTCACTATATAAACCTCATTCGAAAAAATCTCCCGGTTCCTCTAACCTCTCTTAATTTCTTCCTCACTTTCATGTATAACGCTGTCTTAATTCCGGTGTAAATAAATTTTAATTTTTTAACGGAGGCAATGGTAAATTCAGCAGCCCCGGCCTCGTATATAGGGTGGGAGGAGGTGGTGGTTCCAGGCGAGAACGTACGGCGAGAGGTCCATTATTATTTAAAGCGGAACGACGGCGGCGGGCCGGATCTGGTCGTCGTCGGGAAGGAGAAGTGCCCAAAGCGGATGTATTATTATGGGATTAGAGATAAGAAGTATTTGCTTTCGTCCTTGAAGTATTCTTCTCTCTTGAAGCTCAGGTCTAGAAGAGAGGTGTTTGATTGGCTCAATTCAATCGTTCCAGGTTATTTTCTTTTTATTTTATTTTATTTGTTTTAAGGGGTTAAAAATTAGATCTGTTTTGATAAACTAATTATTGTTGGAAAGTGTAATCTTTCCTTTTCTTTGAATTTCGATTTCGGGGAGTTTTTAAATGGTATATTGAATACAATTTCCAAATTTTTTGTGTACTTACAAAAGACGAGATTCTCTGTAATCATTTTTTTTCCTGTATAAATTCTTCGAAAAGATTTTTTGGTTCAATGGTTTCTGCGCCTGCTCCGGAAATAATTAATTTTTTGGTTTTAATTCTCTTTCAAAGTGAACAATTATATGGGATAGGGATTTATGTTCTCGGGTAACTTTTCTTTCTTTTTTTTTTTTTTGGATTGGTGTGGGGGCGGGGGGGTGGTGTTGAGCGTTTGCGACCATTTTATGTTGTTTGTATTTCTGAAAGGTGCTAGAGGTGTATTCCAGCCGAGTGTGTGATTGCTGAAATATTTCTACATTCCGAGGAAAGAGAAAATACAGGTTCCAGGAAAGAGTTTTGAATTATATTTGGAGAATTCCACATGGGGTGTTCTATGGTTTATCACTTTATATATATTTATGGGAAAAAAAGATGAAATTTTTGGACTCCATTTTCCGAACTGGCCTAGTTTTTTCCTTGCATCAAATGAATTCTCTGATTTGAATTGTTTTTTAGTTTTTTTGTGACTGAGATTAATATAGAGTCAATAACTGGAATATTGAAGAAATGAACTTTTTCTGATTATTTTTTCTTTTATTACCGTTTTCTCTATCACTTTCTTATCTAGGTAAGTTGAGCTTTTCTGTTTACTTTGGATATTTTTTGGGGTGAAAATGAATTGTTGCACTACACGTAATTTTTTTCCCCTCTTATTGAGTGCTTCAATTTTTTAATCTTAAAAGGGGGTTCTGGGTACTTCGATATTCACAAGGGTAAAGTCCCTTCTTTGTTCGTCTTTTCTTGTAATTCAACAATTTGGAAAGATGGTTTTAAGAAAATAAGAACTGTTATAGATATCCAATGAGATTCATTTTGGCTGAATTTTCATGAGGATGTTTGATGTGCTAAAATGGGGAGAAGATGAATTTTCTTGTTGAACTACGTTTTTAAGATTGTGCACTTTTGTTGAAGGAATAATTCTAATTAGTGTTTATTTTTATACTTTTTACCTTGAGGAATTTTAATCATTTTTCGGTGGATAATTAAATTATCTGGTCAAAGTGTTAAAGAGCTTCCTTGCCTTTTTTACTGTATTTTTCATGTTAACATATTCGTTTGCTGTGGAGGGGAGGAACATTGATTTCATTTTGTTGATGTCTTCTTTCTCATTTTGTGATTTTTATCTACTGAACTTAGAAAAAATCGAATAATAATTTCACATATGTTTCTTTTATTTCTGATTGCGATGGTCGGTAGAGCTAATATGGCAGGCTAACCCTGTCACATTCTCTAGAATTTTTCAGTATATATATATTTTATTTTATTTTATTTTTGCATTTCAGCGATTTTCTTTTGCGCTAGTAACGATGGTCCTTTTTCTCAGTCCTGTTTAGTTCCTCAGTTTTCCTGGTATCCATGTTATAAAAATAACTGACAATGGGTTGCTGGAATGTTATATCAATTTGCAATAGCTGGTTGAGAGTGTCGGAATTCCTTTGCTTTCTTCCGTCACTTTTGTTTGATTGATTTTTCTATTATTTGTGGTGTTTTTGATGACTGTTGTGGTGGACAACATTGGACTGTCGTTTATAACTTTTTCTTGTGAAGATTTTGGGTTATCCGTTCTACAGTTCTTTTTGGTTGTTTATTCTATCAACTTCTGGCTATTTTTTTGCCTTGATTGTCTGCTTCTTTTACTAGTGCTACATGGTACTAATTTTTCCATTGTGATTCTTCTTTCAGATGTAAGTCAGAATCATTTTTTTGAAGAATTTGGTGGTTATATGGAAAACAGAGGTGCCCACAAGTTGGATGCTGATATTATTAAAGTTAGCTTATATTCATTCTTAGCCTGCTTAATTCTTTCTGCCCTAAGGTACTATGAAATGGATATGTTACTAATGTCTGTTTTAATAAATTGTTTGCAGGATGTTCAAATGCAGAAGCCAGGCCTGTATACGATGGAATTTATGTGGTTGGGGTCATCGTGGACTTGCCGGAAAAGGCGGAAGCACTATTTATCATTTTGCCGCAATGGTATTAAAATATCTGTAAGTCTTTCCTTTTTTGACGGTGCTCTTAATCAGATAGTAGTGCAATAGAAGTTTTTTGGCTTATTAATCACATGTTCATTTTGTTTCTTTTGCTATCACTAACAGGTTCATGACTTTGTTTACGTATTGGCCGAAGAAGATAAACGACTCGTGGCTTACTTAGATGATATGTATGAAGATTCCCGGGGCAACAAGTTGGTTGTGGTACGATGGTTTCACAAAATTGATGAGGTTGGTTTTGATTTGCCTCATAACTATAATGACAGAGAGATTTTCTTTTCTCTCTGTCTTCAAGATCTCAGTATCGAATGCATTGATGGACTGGCAACAGTCCTCAGTCCAGAGCATTACGAGAAAGTTTTGAAGGCAGAAACAACTTTTCAGTCAGTACCATTCGTTTGCTGTAGACAGTTTGATAATGATGATATCAAGCCATTTGACATAACACGACTTAAAGGTTACTGGAAACAGGAAATACTTAGAAATATATCTTCTTCTTCACCGTTTGGAACATCTGATGATAATATTAAGGTAGAAGGAACTCTTAGTGATGCGGTTGGAAGTAGATCCAAGAAGAGACTTCGACAGTCTAAAGATTGTGCGATATACTTGCAACCTGCCAAAAAAAGAGAGGTTGATGCTAGCCCCAAAGATGGCAGTGGTGGTTTCATCAGTTCGGAAGGCTGCAAGAAAATGGTCAGTCTGAATGAAGGCTGCACTTCTGTCTCCTTATCATGGCAATATCCAAGAATATTAATGCGTACGCAATGTTTGACTATTGGTTCTCCAGTTGAAGTGCTTTCTCAAGATAGTGGCATCAGAGGTTGCTGGTTCAGAGCTTTGATCATCAAAAGGCACAAAAATAAGGTCAAAGTGCAGTATCGAGATATCAAAGATGCAACTAATGATGCAAAAAATCTGGAGGTGAATATCTTGTTATATTATGTGTTTCCTTTATAAGTACGCTTGTCCTGTATAAACGATTTCTTACCATAGTTAGTGTTCCACTTTTTAGGAGTGGATTTTGGCGTCTCGATTAGCCATGCCAGATGAGTTAGGTATTCGATTTTGTGGAAGGACCATTGTTAGACCTGTGTCCTCGTCTGAAAAGGGTAACATTTCTTTGGTAGTAAATGTTGGAAGCATTGTTGATGCTTGGTGGCATGATGGGTGGTGGGAAGGCATTGTGATGAAGAAAAAAATGGAGGATAAGCTGCATGTTTATTTACCAGGTGTGAATCCTTGGCGAGGCTTATTTCAAAATAATTTCACTCTCCCTCCACGCTCTTTTCTTTTCTGTAATGGATTTTTCCTCCAACTGTATCGAATGGATTCTAATTGTTACCCTTAACTCATTTGCAGGGGAAAAGCGAGAGATGATCTTCAGTCTAAATGACTTGAGGCATTCACAAGAATGGATTGAAAATGGGTGGAAAGCTATCAAGGAAAGGCCAGAGGTAGTCCCAATATTATCTGGGCTCGAAAGAAAGCTATGTGTTGGAACATCCTCTGATGTTAATCCTGATGCTGCTCCATATGTCGATAGAGATCTTGTTGATACCATTCATGCTGATGCTTTGGCTATACAGAAACTAGTCGGATGTGACAGCTCTATGATTAGCAGCGATGAGAAGAAGCCAGATGAGGCGGCAAGTGACCTCTCAAGTGATGGTTTGCTCACTCAGTTAAAATGGATGTCTTATGGAAAGAGAAGACGTGGTAGGGACCCCATTCACAAAGTCCATTATGGTGGTAATAGTAATGAGAAGTACTCAGCAATGGGGACTTTAAAGAGATTCTTTGCCCCACCATCTTTGAAAATTGATCCAGAAAATTGTAAATATGTCAATGATACTCTCTTTAATTCATCTGTTGCGTCACCAGTGACAAGCTTGGTAATGTCTAGGTGATTTTCTTTTCAACGCGGTAGTTTAACTTCATCTTAATCCCTCTTTTGGCCAAAACAAAGCCATTTTTTGTACGAGGCAAGCAGTGTATTAATGTAAGCAGTTTAGGCTCTAGAATTAGGTTTTTCGTGGGAAGACTTCTGTTTGAGAAGCGAGGCGGCAAATAGTTTGCCCCTTTCTATTTGCCTGTATTTGACTCCAATCACAGGCAGCAGTTTTGGTGTAGCAGAATAACGTATAGGCAGTGTAGAATTTAGTGAGTAGAGGTTTCTGCTGAAATCCTTGTTATATGTTGTTTTTCTAATGAAAATTATAATTTTCCTGTCACTATACTATTTGGACTATGCTCGAATACCATAGAATATGAAATTCCTGGATCTGAAAAACTTGGCTATGTTACATGTAGCATTTGCATATTAAGCCAAAGAAATCAGCTGTAAGCCAGAGCATATTCCTGTCTGTTTAGTGTTGGACAGATAAGAGTTGTACAGTAAAACAGACAAATTTTTACTTCTTTTTATTCCTTAAATCTGCCCATTTACTTACATAATCCACTCAACCAAACAAACCCGTCATTGTATTACCAAACTTAATTTGACCCGATTAGTAAATTGTAACTAATTTAAGCTATTAAGAATTATAATTTCTGAAGCAACCGAAGTGCAATAATTAAGTTCAATGCACTCTGGTGGCAGATAAAAACATCTTTGTCAACTCAGACCTTTTTCACTTCATTAAAACCTTTGTTTCTACTAAAATCCCTAATTTCTCCAACACAGGAAACAAACATCATAATCCTACCAGAAGTTGGAAATGAGCTTTTAGCCATAGCTTTTTTTTTATCATCTTTCCCAGATACAGATAATATATTCGTAGGCCAGAAGCATGTCTGTGGTGAGATGGAATCAAAATGAGCTCGATTCGACCCAAGAGAAAGAGTTGAAGTGTGGCCCTCTTCCTCCAACCACCCTTGCTGCCATTGAATCCTTAGCAATACCTCTTGTGAGTTTTCTTTTTTCTCGTAGACAAATATTACTTCCTTGCTTGTAGTTTACTTTTATGGGTTCTGTGCTATCCAGTTTTATCCATTTCTACACGTAAGATTATGCTCACAGATGGTGGCACCGGCACGGCATGTTTGTTCTTAAACAGGTACAGGAAGTTGTTTTCTTAGCAGATTTTCGATGCTCTGGGTGTCAACAGAGGGTGGCTGAGATCATGTCTAAAATGAACGGTAAGGCTCCTTATCCTGGACCATTGTCTACTATTTCTACTCCAGTTGATTTCTGTAGTTATAGGAGAAGCATTGTTGAGCCATTCTCTCCCACCAGTCGAGGTGGTGGTGAATTTGACATTTTGGGTTTTCTTTTTTTTCTGGAATGGGGGTCCATACAGGTCATCAGATAGAGATATTTGCTGAGTTAGTGGCATAAACCCATTGGATTCCATTTTGAAATAATTTTCTGAAGTCTGAAAAGCACTTTGGATAAACTTTTATTCAACATATTCTATTATTTTTTTTTGGGAGTATAATTACAGAGGAGAACTTGATCAAACCCTTGCTTTATCAAGTTAATTACACGGGCTCCTTTCAATCTCTTTCAAAAAGTGAATTAAACTGATTTGAAAAATATATTGGAATTTAGTCAGCTCAACCCGGCGCCGGCGCATTACGTGCTAGTCGGCTAGTGGGACAGTGAAGTATTCTTAGTCGCGACCAAACCCAGCATATTAGTCTGATTTGGACTAGTTGATAAGAGACAATGAGTATATTTGATATATTGGATTGAACAAGATTAAAGAAGAGAGATGTCATCTTAAAATTGTAATTGTGAAGTGTAAATTATTGCGCGACTATAGCTCCCACTAACATCTCTTCTCATATTTCAGGAGAGACTCAATCAGTGGTGATTAGCGTATTGGAAAAGAAGGTAACATTGACATGTACTTATGAAGTTGCTAACAGATTGCCTCAAGGATCTTCTGTACATCGGAATTCGTTACGCAAATTTTTTTTCATAATGCGTCCGCTTCTCTCTTTTTGCACTTGAACAAATTCTAACATGAACCTTCCATACAATAAAAGACTATACTTACACCAAGGTATATGTACATTTTGAAGTATTCGTAGCTGTCAATAATTTTGATTACATTCGAGTAGAATTTCATGTCTCAAATTATCATTCCTTACTCAGAATAAAGAATCGTGTTTTGAATTGTAGCATGATGCTTCTTCATTTTTCTTGATTTTCTTTTAATCTAGCAAAAAAGAAGAAAAAATAGTGCACAAAGAAAATTATTGGACCTAGCTTCCCACAAAATTTGTACTTTGGTGCATGTTTTAGTGGGGTTGCTAATTCTGTTTTCTCGTAAATATAAGCTGGGGGTTATGAATTTTGGATCATATGAGTTGTGCAGTGTATAAGACAGCAATTTTTTTTTTTTGGCCCAATATGCTCTGAATTTTGTCTCGTGACTTGGCTAAAAAATTTGTGTATTGTCGCATCTACAATGTCTTTTCACAAGTGAGAAAATGATATATGCTATACGCGTGTCAAACTATCATATACAAACAGACTGATTGAAAAACTTTGAGTCTCATACCCAACTTCTAGTCCCGGTTTGATTTGATGGGATTAAAAATCAAAATTTTAGTCGATTTTGATAAAAGTTAATGAAATATGTGATTAAAAAGTTGTGGTCCTATGAAATATATGATTAAAATTAATTGTTAACTTTGATTTAAATAAAAATCTGAATTTGATTTTTACCAAACATGGACCAAGTAAGTTTGACAAGTGATGAATCAAGATCTGTGTGCTTTACCATAAATTATTCGTTTGAATGGAATCTATTGCCAAATAATTGTAGAATTGACATTCTTGCCAGTTGCAAACCAAATATAAACATTTTAAAATATTATTCTATTTATCTATGTTTGACTAGTTTATAATATTAATGAAAAGCTAAATAATTCTGAAAGTTCAGTAAGTTTATATCTAACATACTAATTAGTTAAATTTCATAATGATAATATTCTAGTAAGATTCAAATGAAAAGTCTTGGGCAGATAAAAAATTTTAATTCATTTTTCTTTCTTCTTATTAATCACACATTCTCTCAATAAAATAATATCACATATAAATCCAAAAATTCTCATTACTTTTTAATCACACATTCTTCAAAAAACACTTTTCTAAAATCATTTTTTTTCCAAATAATGGAGCCCAAACAAGAGAAAGGCAAACCCAGAGACACAATCTTACAATAAGGATAAAGAAGCACCTTAATGAAAAATGACAAGAAACTTACCCATGTATTCGCAAAAAGTCCATTTAAACATAACTTAAAAGACACCACCTTGCACAATGACTCTTAAGCTAATACTTTGGTCAACATCGAAAACAACAGCGAACTATTGGTCTAGATTTGTCAATAGTACCAATTGAAAAACTCAATACTATTAACAACCTTAGAGACAATCTTCTTAAATCCGAAGGAAAAAAATGCAACCAAATAATAGCACAATAAGGCGCAATGCACAACTATGGATATATAACATACCCCGGTAGTATTAAGAGCATTGAGCACGGAGGGTCTATTGAGAATTGCATTTGTTAAATAAGCTTTGCCCACAACAAGTACCTAAGAATTATTCAAAAGAAATGAGTTCACATCAGTGTGTGTTGGTTTGTGTGTGTGGTATAAATGAAACATGGAAATGACGATTGATAATTTAAATGGAAAAAATGTTTAAATTAGAGATTGATTTTCCTAACAAGTTTAAGACAAGTCGATTTTTATTATTCAATTTTTATTATTCAAGTTTCTTGCATCTGAATTTTCATCATCTACATTTCTTTGACTATCCAGTGTAATGATCTCCATGCAGGTGGCTATCTTTAATGGGATTACTATGGGTGGCAGGGCTGGGATTTCAATCCCTGTATCAGTTCTAACATAAGCAATTTTATCATTCTCAACTGCTCTTTTAATCGTCTAGATCACATCATCCATCTATAATCTATTTACATCACAATCACATCATATTTTTCTCTTATTATTCATAATAAACAGTTTAAAAATAATTAATTCTATCTTTGGTCAACATCGAAAACAACAGTGAAATAGGTCTATATTTGTCAATAGTACCAATTGAAAAACTCAATACTATTAACAACCTTAGAGACAATCTTCTTAAATCCGAAGGAAAAAAATGCAACCAAATAATAGCACAATAAGGCGCAATGCACAACTGTGGATATATAACATACCCCGATAGTATTAAGAGCATTGAGCACGGAGGGTCTGTTGAGAATTGCATTTGTTAAATAAGCTTTGCCCACAACAAGTACCTAAGAATTATTCAAAAGAAATGGGTTCACATCAGTGTGTGCTGGTTTTTGTGTGTGGTATAAATGAAACATGGAAATGACGATTGATAATTTAAATGGAAAAATGTTTAAATTAGAGATTGATTTTCCTAACAAGTTTAAGACAAGTCGATTTTTATTATTCACGTTTCTTGCATCTGAATTTTCAACATCTACATTTCTTTGACTATCCAGTGTAATGATCTCCATGCAGGTGGCTATCTGTAATGGGATTACTATGGGTGGCAGGGCTGGGATTTCAATTCCTGTATCAGTTCTAACATAAGCAATTTTATCATTCCCAACTGCTCTTTTAACCGTCTAGATCACATCATCCATCTATAATCTATTGACATCACAATCACATCATATTTTTCTCTTATTATTCATAATAACCAGTTTAAAAATAATTAATTCTACCACATTCAACAGCCAAATCTTTGAATAAAGTTAGAAACTAACTTGTAAAGCTTCTATCTCCAATCGACCAAAACGTGCAAGTGTGTCATAACTTCAAGGCAAATGGTTTAGGTAAAGGTACCACCTTGTAATCTTCCCCTTGTTCACTTCATTCAATAGTGAAACAACCAATACTTGCCAACATTTGAAAATCTTATATGCATAAGCATATACTTTTGCCAAGCAGTAGTAACAAAATCTTTAGAATTTTGTTGTGTCAATCTATGATCAAGTTACCTGACTTAAGGGATGAGAATATGAGATGAACAAGTTCAATACTACAAACTAAAATCTTCCTTGCTCATGAATGTGCAAACACATTTAATGGCATCGGCTAGAGGACTGATGGTCTGCCCAGNAAAACAATTACATCTTTATTAATAAGAGATTTATTCTTAACCAAATAAATTATATGAACTAAGCAAACATGCATTGCACGTTGCTTACACCTAGTAGTTTAAAGAAATGAGAAACAAATTTTTAGAACTTATTTATGATGGTATAAAATTAAGACTAAACAACTTAAAACTCAATTTAATATGAACCGTTACTGACGCCGGGCAGAATAGTGATTATTCTGCAAGCTAGTTCTACCAGCAAATTCATAGGGAAGAACACAAGATTAACGCCGAAAAAATATAGAGAAAATGTCTCTGAAGTTTAGAAAATTTTATTATATCACGCAATGATCAAAATAAGTCCACAAGTCGGACTTTATAGCCGAAATCCGAATTTTACCAAAAATGGTAAAATTTCAAAAATCACGCCAAACGAAAATATGGAATAAAATAAGTATTCTGCAAAAAATGTAGCCTAAATCGGGTTAAAAAATCATCTCATAACGTGCAATCGAAATATTACCAAAAATAGTAAAAATTAACTTAAAATAGCAATTCGGAAGAGAAAACAGCTGAATTTGAGGATGAAAACGGCACACACCGAGCATAGCTGGGTGGCCACGACGTGCACGCCGAAACAAGCTTGACGGATTGTGGTCATGATCGCGATTCGGATAACCGTAGCCAAAGTTATGACCAAATTACCGAAACACGACTTAATTGCCAAACTTATGCGATCACTTACCATTCTTGCCCCGATCTGCCAACTCGTGTTACCTTAGAGCCATTAACGTGTTATCTGACAACTCAGCATCTGATTCGGACCCTCCTGCATCAATTACCCATTGAGTCCATAAAGCCTGAGTTCTGATAATGAAACAACATAAACCTATCAACTATGTTGGCAGAGTTGAAAAAAGAGAGGATAACAAACCCAATTCAATCAAAGATTCAGCATAAATAGAACAAAAAAAAAAACTTAAAAGTGAGTTTTCGGATTTGAAGAAGAAATTGAATGGTAAATACCAAAAACAAAAGACTCTTAGAAGGAGAAGTGGAGAGAACAACATATTTTCTGAAAAAAATTACCTTGCGCAGGTAGTGTATCCGGCACAGTTTCAGGCATAGGCTCAGGCTCGGGCTCTAGTGGAGGTCCCAGCCTAAGCTGTGGTTGTGGCTAAAGTCTTTATCTTCTTCCTCCTCGTCCCAAGTCGAAACAAAATCACTGTCAATTCCCATTTTTTTCAAAATACGTTTTTATGTCTTTTTTTCAACCACACATTCTTCATTAGAATAGTAGTACACGTAAATCAAAAACTTTTTTTTATTTTTTAATTACACATTCTCTATCAATCTACTATTCCAAAATACATTTTTAAAAAAGAATGTGGTTCAAACACTCCCTAAGTCATTTACCTTTTTGAGTTGGAATTCCCAAATTATGCCTATGTAGTCAATCACCAGTGCCATATGACTAAGCCAATGTCCATTCTTATGAACAAAAGCTCTCGAAAATGGCTGAACAACATATATCGTATTTTATATGAAAAAAATTAGATCGTGTTCATCAGCATATCATATTCAAATAAGTTTTGATAAATAAAAAAATAGGTTCTAGAATTGAGCCAACACATGAAGTAAAATTTATTAAAACTTACAAAATATATATGATGATTCATGAACAGCCTTATAGACTGGAAGATCCTCAATAGTTATTCATGTTATTCGATGTTCAACATTCTTTCGTTGATTTTTTTTTGCTCCATCAACCGAAAACAAATTCAACATAGGACAAAGGAAACACAACTTCAATTAGGTTAGAAACAAAAGCAAAATCCATCCTACAACACAAATAACATTTGACATAGAACACAAAATAATTCATTAAATGAAGGTATTGAAACCGTCGCAAGTAATAAAAATATTGTACACGCGTCAGGATAGAAAGACTCAAACGGTAATTTTTAAAAATAGAAAGCCTAAATCAAAGTAGACAAATTTGGTTATTCTTGCTAACAAACAAGAACATATTTGTCTAAATTACTAGACTGACAAAAAAATGAGTTAAAGACAAATAATAGAAATGAACATAATCTAAATAAGGTGAAAACCAACACGAAAATAGAGAAGATTGGGAAATACACCGATACGCACACTACAATTAAAAACATTTACACATAAAAGCTGAAGAAGTTGTTAGTCTCTATTAAAAGCTAAAGTGCTAGCCATTTGAAAACTCAATTATAAAAATAGAAGAAATTGCTAAAAAGGAAAAGAAAACCATTATCTAGGGGATAAAATCTAGCGTCTTAGGACTGTTTCAAATATTTATGTAAATGACTAAGGTCAAAGCAAATTATTCCTCAAAAAGTTTGAAGTTGTTGCTTCAGTGCCGGAGTCTAAATGGCTGTAAAGAGGGAGTACTACCTTGCTAGCCGCTTCAACATCAACAGCTACTTCATTCCCTGAATTTGTAGCGGAATTGACTTCTCGCGCATCAAGATCATCTTCATTAACAATAGAATAACAAAAATTGCATCATTAAACATACTACTAAGCTTTAGCTGGTACCGTTTGTGTTAGCACTTTTGATTATGTTCATTTCTATTATTTGTCTGTAACTCAATTTTTTGTCAGTTTAGTAATTTAGATTAACATTCACATTAATTTAGACTTAATGAATCTTAATCTACATGAATCTATAGTTATCATTGGTGAATTTATTTCTATATTTATGTATCTAGGAATTTTAATCGGTGTTTAAATTCATGTATTAGCAATTAATTATTCTTATATACCAAACATAGTATAAAGATGTTGTTCATTTTTAGTATTTCATTATCACAAAAAAAAAAAACTTGAATCATAAAAGTTTAATTTTGAGAATACAATTTTCAATTTCTATCCTAAATTTAATTTTCTTTAGTTCGTTTGAGACTAGTCAAATCTTCTCAATAAATTGGTATCAAATACTTACATGACATCTATAAAGTATTTTAAAATAACGTCCAATACACGTAGAAACCTCAGTAATTGGAAAGAAAAGGAGGACTTCGCATGTATTAGCAATTCATTCTTATATACCAAATGTACTATGAAAAAGTTGCTCATTTGTAGTATTTCATCATCACAAAACTTTGAATAGTAGAAGTTGAATTTTGAAAGTACAATTTTATTCTCATAATTTTATACCTTAAATTTTATTTTCTTTATTTTGTTTGAGACTCATCAAATCTTCCAACAAATTGGTATCAAATACTATTTTTACAACACTTATAACTTATTTTAGAATAACGTGTAATGCACGTTTAATTTTGATTAGTATTTATAAATATTCATGTAATCTATATATTTTGAGATATCTATAAGTATTATTCACTTATTCATAACTCATTTCAATCTTTATATAACTGAAATCGTTCATTAACATTTTTTATACACGTTCGAAAGATGAGTTCCGATGTAATGTTTTGATTGAATTGAAAAAAATAGAAATAAAAAGTTTGAAGTTGTTGCTTCAGGGCCGGAGTCTAAATGGCTGTAAAGAGGGAGTACTACCTTGCTAGCCGCTTCAACATCAACAGCTACTTCATTCCTTGAATTTGTAGCGGAATTGACTTCTTGCGCATCAAGATCATCTTCATTAACAATAGAATAACAAAAATTGCATCATTAAACATACTACTGAGCTTTAGCTGGTACCGTTTGTGTAAGCACTTCTGATTCTTGAAATTATCCATCATTTTCTTTACGAAGTCCAAAGTAACAACGGTGTCTTCTATTCTTGCACCAGTATATTGTGGTTCCACATTTAGAAGTGACACAGAATACAAATATGTTAACATTTCCTCTTCGTTGAAAAGTTTAAGTTCTTTGTGTTTCTTTGTTTGAATTAGAAGTGACAGATATACTCATGATGCATTATGGAATGAGGCAATTGGGAAAGACCATATTGATTATTTTCAGAGAATATTGGATCATTTATCCTCTTGCGATGATCAACACAAGAAGTTCGAAGATGGTTTCGCCCGTCCCTTTTTCTTTGAATTTGTTGATGATGGATGGAGGAATTATATAAGTTCTTGTCATCCTCAGTAACGGTTTCAAGGATAAGTAAATGATGGTTTCCACGAGTGTATGTTTCCGGAATTTCCATTAGAACAGTATAGCTGATCAAATAATTGTACTCCAAGTTAATAAATGAGAACCGGAAAAAATTAAAAATTCTATCAACTAATCTATTAAATTATATTATACATTCTAAAAGACCATACAGTATTGTAAGCAAAATAAAATGTGCAAAATCATGAAAAATAAATCAAATTGTTCGCAATGTATATAGAATAAATTATTACCATATTATAACATGCACTTTTTAAAAAATATAAACCTATGAAGTAAAAATTGCAGCAATGGAAGAACGTTGAAGTATTAATGGCAAGGAAGCCAATATTGTACTAAATTTTCATACTTTAATTCCAAAAGTATAAACATTTATTTATCATAGATGTTTTAATTACACATACGATCAATGTTTTCAAAGCTCGAGCAATACGAATACAATAAATCCACTTCTTCATTATAGCCCTATATAAGTTTTTCATAATTGCAAAGAATTTATTGAGATATATATGAAAATATAAGATTTAACCTACAGTATAGAATCCGAATGATTTATTATTTAACTGAACATCCATAATATGAGAAAACCTTACTACAAATGTAAAAAAATCAAATAATTATGAACAATTTAGTAAAGAAAATATAACAACATAATAAAAAAAATAGTCCACTGGGGAAATTCACAAAGTTTAACAAGAAAATAATACAAACAAAATGAAAAGAAATAATAAACAAAACTGTAGAATTAACTGAAGTTGCAAAATTGTTAACAAAACGTACTAAATGAGAACGATGAAAACAGAATTGCATATTTCACCACGTAGAAATATATTTCCTCCTACATGGAAAAAAATATAAAATAAGTTTCAAATAAGGAGAAACTAAACACCAACTAATTAGAGATGAACGAATTTATAATAATTTTACGGAAGATAAATTGAAAGAGACAAACAAAAAAATGAACAAAAACCTTACACTAAAAAGGAGCATGAAATCATCCATATAAAATAAAAGACAAAATAAACATAGCTTTATGAGTCTAACATATTAGAAGACAGTAAAAAATTTGGAAGGAAAAGTCTATGCAGAACCAAACGTAAGGGACAGACTTATAGAGTATGAAATTAGGACTTCTTACCCTTCAATTTTCTAAATAATTTGTACAGTTGAATAAAAAAGAAGAAAAAATATGCTATACGGTACGAACAAACAAAATTGTAGATATATTTCAGGTATTATTTTCATGTCATCGTCATTTTTCGTTCACAATAAAGTTTATACTCCCAGTGTGTGTAAAACCAACAAAAAATTAACAAAGGCAAGAATTATATTTCAGGGTGCTAATGAAGTAGTAATATACGCCAGAAATGAATCTTGATGATCAATACTCCCAAATGTATTAATCTAATGTCAACAATACTACAAGTTGACAAAAGAGAAATGAATAAAAGTTAATTAAATATTTAATTGTGTTATTTGTTGTGAGATTGCAACAGAAAAACAGAGAACTTTGAAGCACAGAACACCAGAGCTTGTGTCGAAGAAGGGTTAATTTTATTTAATTCAATACTTGTATTTAAAGACTTAAAAATAACTAACCACTAAGATCATGTCCTATAATTAAACCATGATTAAACAGAACATTAACAACCTACTAGAAACTAGGAAACAAACTTTGAAATATTCAAAATAGAATAAAAACTAAACAGGCCACAAACATGGCAGCAGTCCTAAACACTACAGCTAACACTCCTCCTTGCTTTAGACACTGCAAACACCAAGTTTCATTCTGAAGAACTCGAACTTGCTAGCTGGTAAGGGTTTAGTAAAGACATAAGCTATTTGTTCTTCTGTTTTGCAATAAACAAGGGTTACAGCACCATCCTTCTGCACTTCTCTCAAGAAAAACAGCTTGATGTTGAAATGTTTAGGGGCCGTTCTCTTTGTATTTCAGTTTTGTATTTTGAATTCGTTTTGTGTTTTGTGTTTTGAGTGTCTGTTTTGAAATTTCTGAAAATGCGTTCTGTTTGTCATTCTGAAAAACTGTTTCTGAAAACATGAAAATGGAAAACGCGTTTACTTTGAAATTTTGAGAATTTTTTTAATAATATTTTATTCAAAAAATCTGATTATTCAATAAATTTTAATGGTTTAATGTTAATATAGTATTAAATAACATATAAATTTTGAAATTGGTGAAATTTCAAATTTTTTTTTTTTCAGATATTAAAAACACAACCTAAATTACATTTGACAAGTCCTTGTTTTTGTTATTGTACGTAACTTGTGACAAGAATTAACTAGCATTAAGTCACAACCAAACATAATCAAGTTGAACAAAAGGAGAGTACTAATCTCATGTTGACATGGTAATAAATATTTTGAAATTAATCTTATCGAGTTCGTATTAGTTCTCACAATTCTTGCCAAACACAATTTTAATCGTCTAAACACGATAACTATCATCAGTAATATTATTATTTATTGAAAACCGGCCGACAAATGCAATAGCATACACATCTTACTTCCTAATTTTGCCTCACTATTGCACACCATATATAGGACAAATGGGAACAAATTCAAACCATATTCATGATTCCTCAGCCAATTTTCCAAAGGAGTGTTATATATTGCACACCATATATATGCTCTTAATTCCAAATGAGTGTTATTTACATAAATCAATATCTAGTTCGTAGCATATTTAATTACAATGTAGTATTTTAGTGCTTGATTTGTCTAGTGACTAAAGACTCAATTTTGTAAATGACAGTTGACGCCAGCTTTTCCAATGATGGCTCCAGTAAGACAAGCATCCAAGTTCATATTTGCTATGGCCGAGGCTCTAAAGCTGGCTGCAGCTGGTTGTGCAGCCATTAAGGCCGTAGTGTAGTCTTAAGACATTTTGCTCTCTATCACACAACACGTTAAGAAGCTTTTGCATTTCTCTTTTCAACATCTCTTTCTTCTCCATTGCCTTTGGTGTCATTTCATTTGGCCCTGGTATGATGTCCTAAAAAATGGTAAAACAAAGAATTCAATCAACAAATTTCAACTACTTGTCGAGATTTATTTAAATTGACGTAGAACAAGTGAGAGAAAAGTCTCTAAACTAGTTGCTAAGCAATGAAATGAACGAGACTCAGTTTGTTTTTGTTTTACAGCTGAAACTTGGCATTTCAAACTCTTGTACAAAATTTTCGCAGCGTACTCATAACTGATGGAATAAACAAGCACTCTATTGCAGTAAATAAAAATAATAAAGGAAAGGAATCTTAGTATATGGTTATGCTCAGTTCAGGAAAGGCCTATGATTAGATTAGGTGCCTTTGAAAGTAAAATGGAATAGTCAAGATGACAAGATCAAATGTGGTAGAAGATGAAAATTCCCTAACATTATAAGCTTGCTTCCTCAACAGTTCATCTAGAGCCTTTATCTTTCCATGTTAGTCAATGAAAAGCTAACCAAGACATGCCTGAACTATGAAAGAAATCCAATCAGAAATGAAAAGGAAATAGTGAAAAAAAACTCAATTTCAATGTCCTGATTTCCTCAAGTCATAAGATGCCGATCTTCTTTAGGCCCCACGGAAATGTTCATTGCATGGGAGAACAGAAATGCCCGACCATTTCTTCCCTATAGTCAAATAACAAATATTTGTTGGTAAGATTATCTAGCAATGGCTATCAGCAGTGTTAAACTCACAACAGAAACATAAACCACGAAATAAAACAAGCTGTATTCTAATCACTTTTCCATTTCTCTATTCTATTTTAGATTTCCTTTGTAGCACAGAATTAGAACTTAGAACCGATGGTCAATTCACTATACTTTTAGAACAAGTTAATTATGTTCCTTCAGTTTTTTCCTCCATGGATTTTTACAGTTTCATTGTTTAGAAGCAAAGAGAGAAAAATAAACCTTCCAATTCACTACAAGCTGCTTGATGAAACTCTCACACTCTATCAGCAGAAATAGGCAAAAACTAGGGAAAAAAGTTGTACATTTATTGCAAAGACTCAAGAAAGTCAATGTGGTGTTATATTCTTAGCCTTCAACCAAAAGTCTGCTTTCCACAAGAAAAAAGAGAAAGAAACCTTCAAGAATTATGATCCAGATTACAGCCGACAATCATAAATTGAGCACTCATATAACGAATTTTTGAAAACCATAAAAAGAAACAATAGGAAGAAGAAATCATAACCCACATAAGAAAAAGAACAAACCAATTGAATCTAGTAACTCAAAAACATAAAGCACCAGACAATCAAGAAAATTAAGAAATTAAGTAGCCCTTTTCAAGGTAATTTTAGACTCACCAGTGGCGCGATTCCCGTGTGCGTGAGAGAGAGGGATTGGTGGAGGAAGAAGTATAACGTGGACCAATGTGTCGGAGTTTCTTTTGATTATGATTATAGTAGAAGGAAAGAGTTGCCGTGGAAGTATCAAGAAAGTACTGCACCATAATTTCAGCTTATTGCGAATTTACCATTCATTGTGTCGACTGGACTGACTACACGTACACCTCCAAATGGATCAATTAATCCCTTTCGAGCTGTTTGGTCTTCCACTGTGCTCGGCGGATCTGGAACCACACCGCCACCATACAAATCTTTCGGCGATTTTCAGTTTTCTGCGAGAGGTAGAGAGGGGAAAGACCGAAAGAGGTAGAGAGGGGAAAGAGGAAGAGGAAGAGGGTTGGAGGTCATTTTCCTTGTTTTG